TGTTTCTACGGACATGGAAAACTTCAAGCATGGAAGCTGTGGGATGTTTATCCAGAGATTACAAATGGACTAAGTGCCCTAATGTATCCTGACGTCATAAGAAACATTCCATCGGAAGCATTTGATAGCCTTGAAAAGTTCATAGTTCTATTATATGACCGTACACGTGAACAGGTAGACATCAATAAGGCCAGAAAAGAATTGTTTTGCAACAAAGGAAAGATGATAGATAAAATCCCCTACTAAACTAAAGCTGCTCTTAGACAGCATATTCTTAGGGTGGCCTTCCAGGGTGGCATTGTGTGGGGCCAGTATTTAAATCCTAGACCAGATCACCTTCAGTCCTATCTTCAATGGGGTTGGAAAATTAGCCATACTGTTGTAGTGCCAAAGTGGACAGACCTTCCTCAGGTATCTAAGGCATGTCAGGTCCTTGTAAAGTGTGGATGCTTAAAAGGATGTGGAGCCAGATGCTCATGCCACAAAAGTGGACTTTTATGCACCGAACTTTGCAAGTGTTATGGAAATTGTCATCATATGGAAGGATAAACGTTAACATTTAACTATGTTAATTCATATGAGAAAGTGTGGACCTGTCTTCACAGTGACAACAGTTATCTGTGACCTTTAAAAGAATGTTACAGCAGCAATATTTGACATTTTAGATCTATATTTTGAGCATTAGTGACGGGATGATAAAATAAGTGAGGGATCAAATATAGATCCTTGTTAAACACCATTATTTATTATGAAATAGTCATATGATAAGGTAAAGTGTACCTCAAAAGCTATTTAAGGTCTTAAGTCAATGTTTCTACTGACACATAACTCTTATTTAGCTGAATACATTCAACATTTTCTATTCTTGTAAAATTCTTGACGATAATGACATGCTATGGGGGCCATCTTGAATTTTATCTGAAATTTTTAAAATTTCGCTTGCGGCCACGGATCAATTTTTTTAAAATTGGATAAGGAAGTTATATACCAAAATTCACGCTTCTATCACAATCTGAAACGTTTTGTCATAAATCTGACTCACTAGTCTGTGTCTTATAAAATGTATAAAATTGCTTCAAATGTTGCTGCGCTATAGTGTGCTACGGATCCTTCATATTCGGAAGTCATACCATGGACTAATATGTCTCTTCACTCGAACATCCTGAATCTGTGACCAATACAAAATAATTTTAGGATATCCTGTGATTTTGAGAAATATCATTTCTATCTTCGAGGTGATATTGATATCTGCACGAGAGAGCGAAGCGAACGAGTGCATATATCAGTATCACTGAGTAGATTTAAATATCATTGCAAAATGAATTCCATGCCAAATAGAGTCAATTTGGCGGGAAATCAACAAGCGGAGTATATCGTCACAATATCCTCCGCATATTGGGTTTTCCGGAGTATATCGTCACGATATCCTCCGCCCGGAGTATATTCATTTTGCCAATAAATATCAAATTTATTTTTTAATGTTATTATACATTTAGTACACTAAGTGTAGGATAATAGTCAATATAAATTGACACTCAGCTCAAAATATCACAAAATTAAATCAATTTCTTCCGAAAATTCTTCTTCAAACTTTAAACTATTCTGAACAGTATGTTACAATTGTAATATGTATATCTATTCACATTCCCAGTCCAATGCTTGATTCAAAACAAAATATATACTTGGGTACGAGTTGTCTTGGGTATGAGTTGTCTTGGGAACCAGTTGTCTTGGGTACGACTTGTCTTGGGTACGAGTTGACCAGTTACCGTTGGTACTATCGAGAATTATATCATACTGGTTGTTGTGTACTATACTGGTACACACTACCCTACCTCGATAGCGCATGCGCGAATTTTTTGGCTTTCAATCAGGTCGCTTTTGAGTATATCGACTGCTTAGTGAAAAGGTTAATACGTTTGGTGCTCGGAGTGAGTCAATATTGCTATTCGCTGAACTTCAGTGGTGCAATAGTGAAGTCCATGTTCCAAGTTATATGATAGTTGAAGAAATAATGTAAATAATATCGTTTTAAATTTTAAAATATTTGATATGTCATAGTACACGGTACACAGCTGCAAAAGTTGATCAATACAGGGTACAAGGAATGTAAATTGTTCAATAGTACAGGGAGCGAGAAAGTAAGCTGATTATACAGACATACTATGTCCCGATCTCATGTATATTTACGTTGCAAACAGTGAAAATAATACTAAAAAGGCCGCCTGTTGATGCTTTGAGGTGTCATCAATTGTTATTTAATCCAAATAAAGTAAACATTATTTAGTAGATTTAGACACGGGCTTTCAGGTCGTAAATGCATTTTAGTCATTAAATTAACAAGAACGCTAGATTATACGTGTTAGTAGGGTATCAAATTGAAATAAAATAACAAAATTAAATATAAACACGTAAGTGATAAATGACTATTGGCTATCAGGATTAATGACTATCCGCTATTCAGAATAATTAAAATTGCGTGAACTACATGTAAAGAATCTTTCTATATAACCCCTTGAATGGTCTAATTCACTACCGTTCTAAAAAACCGATCATTTAAAATAGTTTGTTCAAAATACCATCATGCCACGACATTTTGTTCTTCACGATTTGCTGTAGAGGTGATATGACGTCGTATTTCTCTATTATTGTAAAAAAACTAATACCAGATCGATGTAGTTTTATATGACGTGTTGAATGTCAGATGTTTTTGGATGGTATCTGCTCCAGTGATTTTGCATTTAATCATGAAACGCTCATCACAAGACACCTCGAAACAAACATTATCCTCCTTGTGACAAGAGGAAAAATGTTTCACAATATGTTATGCCTTACGGCAAAGTAAAGATACATTTCTGGGACGACTATTTTGCATCTTAAGATTTTAGAAAAACAATTAATTCACAAAAGTACAGTTGAATAACATACTGGAAAACGTATCCACATATAACACGAAGACAAGCAGTTTAAATAACAGTTAACTGGGGTTTTGTTACATATCAATGTAACATTTTCGAAGGGAAACTTACATGCTCCCTGTACGTTGACAGATTTACTGAAATGTATCGTGTATTGCATTAAGTTTTGCTTCACTGCGCCCACTATTATCTATCTTTGCCTATAGTGGTTTTTTGCCAACAATATTCTACAAACTGCTTGATGAATCAATTCTATGTCTGGTAGAACACTAAAAATAAATGTAAAATGTATTTTACGTTCAGAAATATGGAATTAAACCCACGCCCTCCATTTGCAACTTAGCTGTACCCTGTTTCCCTTTTAAACGTGGTCACGTGGTAGGGTAGTGTGTGGTATATCAGAAATGTATTGTGCCATTTTAACTTTTGTGGAGTTGTACATTCCCCATTGTTGAAAATATATCATATTATCTGTAGAGATCCTGTTTGGATGTTATGCATCAATTGTATTTTCAAGGTTCTCTGTATTGTGTTCAACTGTTTCTTTTGAGCTTTTTATAACGTTTGACCTTCTGGATTTAGTACAGAAACTGCATACTGTTTTCTGTGTGATAGGCCCCACTGTCTGAACCATTGACTAACAAGTCTATTTAATACGGAGATGATTGTGAGTGGTGATTATTGGTTCTAGATCGTACTCAGTTCAATAAAGTCCATCAAACCAGAAAAAGTACAATTATCGTAACACTGGCAGAGCTCCAACCTGGCACAATGACAAGTTGACCACAACTATTTATGTGGTGATCGACACTGATTATATGGTTTGAAATAGTTAAGGGATGAAGAATATTATTTTAATTAATCGTCTAATTAGTGCGTTTTTACACCTCGTTCACCATGTTGAATCTCATAAATCTTTTGTTATATACGAGGGTATATCATAAAGTTCTCATAATATCTCTCTAATCTTTTTATTTTTCAATATATTCTGATGAATTTTTCACAGAATCTGTAGTATACAATGGTGTATTAATCTACCAAAAAATATTTGCTATAACTGAAATATTATTTAAGAAATGGTCGCTATAGTAACCGGAAACCAAGGCACCCGGGGCAAATAAAAAATCCCAAGTCACCTAAGTCCCAAGTAACCATGTTTAAATACATAATAAGTTATCAAATAAGCTATGAAACACATCAAATTGTTAAATTCCATGTATTCTTGACTGTTTTGAACTATTATAATGGTCATGTGAATTGTGTGATCTCATCATGGATGATTGTAATGCTTCATTAGAAGTGATGTGAGACAAAACAACTGTTTTGTCAAGTATTCCAAGGAAAGTCGATTTTCCACTTTAGTTCATCTTAAATAAATAATAAACCACACAGAGGGTGTAATTATGTTAATATCTTTGCAATATATTTGTTTTAGATCATCTTTAGTATGAACAAAGGATTTTTCGAACTAAACTAAACTAAACTTTTTATCAGTGTGAACATTATTTTTCTGATGATCCCTGCATCTACGCATTATCTTACTCAGTCATTTCTGATCATTAAGCTTTGATTCTCAGAGTCTGGTATCACATCTAATGAAGCATGTAAGCATCCCCTATGACACCACACAATCCACATGATCAATTTATTTTATAGTAAAAGCATTAAACAACATATTCAAGATAACATTTTAATGTGTTTGATAATTTATGAGAGTTTATTATGTATGTAAACAAGGTTAATTAAGCTCATTCTCTCAATTATTTTTATTTGCCCCTGGTGCCTTGATTTCTGGTTACTATGGCAACCATTACTTGTCTAATATTTCTGTTATATCAAATATTTTTTGATAGATTAATAAAGTATTCTATACTGCATATTCTCTGAAAATCTCATTAGAATATACTGAAAAATTAAAAAATTAGAGAGATATTATGAGAACTTTATGATATACCCTCGTATAAGGGAGTTTTTTGATATAGGTCTCTTGCCTGCTCGTTACAAGTACTTTCACTTTCTAGAGGCTTTTATCATATGATTCTAGTCTATATTGTACGATGCATATTTGTTTCTGTTTTTCAGATGTCTCTAAAAATGCAAGTGGCACTGCGTTTGGAGGAACACAGGGTATACGACAGGCGCTGTGCTACCATCAAATATGCCTTTGTTGTCGGAGTTAGTGTCATTCTCATCCCCATTGCACTTGTTATCAATGTAATACCGATTGATATGGCGTGGTTGCTTCAGTTTACTGGTATTTTCTTTGGATCGGCCGTTTGTCCTATCGCATTCGGAGTCAGTTGGTACAGAATAACGTCCTGGGGAATGATGTCCGGATCTATCGGGGGATTTATCGCCGGAGTTGCGTCGTGGCTGATCTATGCCTCAACGCTTGACGGGGGCCTTGTGGATTTCCGTAAAAATACAGGAGACGTTTACGCTATGATTGTTGGCAACAGTGTATCATTCGGTGTGGGATTGATTTTATGTATAATCGTGAGTTTGTCGGTTGGTTGCTGCAATGATGATCTAATCGAAGCTGAGGAGTGGCATAAGACAAGGTCTCTGGACAACCCCATCTGCTCCTGGATAGACTCATACATGGAAGATATGAAAGATGAAGAAAGCAGGGAGATAGCACCCTCCATAAGTACGATTCGCAAAACCTATAGGGGCGCTGAAATCTGTGGATATTTCGTCGGGGTACTCCTGGCTGTTGGCATTCTCCTTATATGGCCTGCCTTTATGCTGTTAACCTTCATTTGGGAACAACACGTATGGAACTCCTGGTGGTTGGTCTGCCTCATCTGGCTCTGCATCGCCGCTGCCTATTGTATCTTCCTCCCTCTTGTGTTAGAAGTCTACAACATTTGTAGTCAGCGGGAATACAATCGCACCATCAAGAGACGACACAAAAAGGAAAAGGATTATGAATATTACGCACAAGTGGATGAACACAGTTTGATAAGTGAAAGTGTTGGGAAAAGATCACAGTATGTTGATGCAACAGCTACCGAGATGAACTCAGTAACCATTAATCCAGCTTCATAAACATTCAAAAAGTCACTGGTCAGTATCAAGCGAAAGTAACGGCCGTAACCTCCGCATCCAAGATGGCGGACGGTAATTGTAGATTTCGACATTTTTAGTTTTCATCGAATTTAACTACTTTTAAGTTGACGTTATGTTCTGATATTTGAACCAAATCAGCCTTTTATGACACATGGGAACTCTGGAGTATGAAAATGTGTTTATATATTGTGCGCGGGCGCCATAGTTCGACGATATCTTCCACCGCTTAAGGGAAGGTAACTGGAAAAGTATGATGCGGCAACGGTCCTGCTAGTTTTCAATACACGGTAACTGGACATCTAAGCTCTCCAGCATGAACTCTAATAACGTCACCGCATCGCCTTATATCAGTTATCTTATCATCTGTAAAACCAAAATCCCAGTTACCTTCCGGTCCCTTAAAAGCGGTGGGGGATTTCGTTGAACTGTAGTGACTACGCAATGAATTAACAAACTCCAGAGTTTCGATGTCATATACGCCTGATATAGTTCAAATATCAAAGCATTACGTCAAATATAAAGTAGTTCCATTTGATTAAAACAAAAAATATCGAAATCGACACTTACCGTCCGCCATCTTAGATGCGAAGGTTACGGCCGTTACCTTCGTTTGATACTGACCAGTGAAAATAAGATATATATTCCAAAAGTGACATGGAGATTCAACAGTGACCTAGACATTCAAACAAGTGACCTAAACGAGACATTCCAACAGTTACCTATACAAGACATTCCAACAGTGACCTAAACGAGACATTCCAACAGTGTCATGTACGAGACATTCCAACAATGACCTAACGATACATTTCAACAGTGTTCTACATGTATACTAGAGATTCCAACAGTGACCTAAACGAGACATTCCAACAGTGGCCCAAACAAGATATTCAAACAGTGGCTTAAACGAGACATTCCAACAGTGACTTAGACGTTCCAACAGTGACATAGACATTCCAACAGTGACCTAGACATTCCAACAGTGACCTAAACGAGACATATAAAGTTAAGTTGATGGCGGAGAGGATTAACAGTTTTTCCAATGGCCAGATTTGTGAAATAAATGAGCAATGAGCTGCAGGCAAACGTCGGATGTTGAAAATAACGGCTGGTGATATGTAACCTATATCGTACAGATGATGAGTACGAATAAAAAGACTAATTAACGTGACTTATTCTTGTTTGACATTGTCAATGCTGGAAGTGTAGCTTAAATTTATATATATGCAATATCACAACATTCTGAGTGATATCATTTAGTCAACGAGTTAATATCAACACAAGTGAGAAAAACGATTGAGTGATGATGATATCAACTAGTTAATAAAATGAGATCACTTAAACTGATGTGATATTAAAGTTATGTACGTTATACTTTTACGTTATAATCCTAGAACTTTCAAACGTTTATGTCTGTATAATAGGTCAGTGCGTTATTGAATGAGATTGTAGTTGTCCGATAGTGTTAATTCATTTTTTGTATCATAAACCACCATTGTCGTCTGATTAGAAATCATAGTTTTGTACTGTAACCGGGCGAAACGGGGAAGGGAAAGGGACTTTTAAACAGGGCCTAATACATCAAATATAACATGCAACACATATTAGCAACACGACAAGCAATATAAAATATAACAATATGTACAAGGTTTATTTATTTAAAATCAATCAATAGAACATTACACTCAAAGCAGTATTATTTATGGCACTGATAGAAAGAACAATGGCACATTTAAGATACTAGTAATCTAATCAGTTATTATAGAATTGTCTATGTAAAATGTACTTTAAACCAGAGCTACAGAAATGTCTATTAAAATATAATAAAAGCTATGCGAGACGATATAAGGCACTTGGTTGTGGGAAATCATCCTTCAAGTGGGCGTGGAAAGTTCTGCTCGAGATGGCGGGGAGCTTGGCTGACTGGGTGTTGAAATCCCACGGTGATAGTTTCTTCGATCAGCGAATTCCAGCTGCTACGGCACCCCAACGGACTGCTGTAGATTCACAGCTTACGAATCCTTTATCTTAGGTTGCTCATTGCTGTCTATCGTCGTTGATGAAGTCTTTATCCCGATGTCACATCCAGTCCATAAACAGGAATCCTTTCACCTAGAAAATGTGCATAGCCCTACCTTGTATTCGTGCCTCCAGACGCCCTACAACGCTGGCGATCTAACATTCGATTCAATCGTGAGTTGATACAAAATCAACCAATCAGATTATAGATAAATATTTCCAACTCGCGTTCGAATTGCGTTTTCCGTCGTGGTTTGCTTCTTCGAAGGTACAAAACCGGTTTATTTCCAATTAGTCTATCACACAGGATTCATATGTAAAGTGTTGCTCCGTTTTTGTGTTTCAGTGAAATAGACTTAAAAATATCACCGCAACTACCGCAACCGCGAAAGCTTTATGCATGAATAATTTCGTTAAGCAGACCGTTACATAGCTCCCCCTCTTATAAAATGACGTCCTCGTCATTAACATTTAGTATACTCCTCTATTCTATTTTGTTAAATATGTGACTGGTACATTTCATTTATATATTTTCAAAAATTTCACGGTCGTTATATCTTACTGACCAGTTCTCTTTGTTGGAATTTCACGCTCGTCTTCAAAATAAAACTCAAATCCACATCATAAAAAACTTCACATGGTCAGCAATTAAGGCCTCGGCTTTAAAATGTAGCTTAGTAGATATCTCTCTGTCAGGTCTATATACGTATACATCAAACATTTCCAAAAATATCAATCAAAATCTATCTACAATGCAGATTTCAATAAATTTTTACAAAAATTCTCAGATACGATGCGTTCACCCCCTCCTTTCTCAATTTCTTCATCCACTGCATCATCGCTTGGGTCTGCAGGTTCTTTCTCTATATACGCTGCTTCTATATTTTCTCGTCTTTTCACCGTTTTGGTGGTCTGCTGTGGTTCTTTTTCACTTTCAACCTGGACAAACTCTTTCTTTTTGTACCATGTTGGTTTATCGTCTCCATTGTATGGCTTCAACCTATCTATATGAACTACTGTTTCCTTACTCCTTGGTGATCTTCTGATTCTGAACGTAATGTCAGTTATCCTTTTCGTGATAATGTAAGGACCTTGATAGGGTCTCTGTAATTTCGGGGAGATACCTGGTTTTCTTACTGGACAATGTAACCACACTGCATCTCCTTCATGCATTGTTGTGGGACTGGCTTTTAAGTCATAGTACTTTTTCTGCCTAGTGCTATTTTTGTTCAAATTTTCTCTTGCAAACGCATGTGCAATTTCCATCCTCTCTTTCATTTCTGTAACATACTCTGTTTCATCTGTGTTATTTTCTCCCGGTGGTGGCCCAAACACCATATCAACTGGTAGATTCAACTGCCTACCCAGCATCATTTCACATGGCGTGAATTGTGATGTTTCATGTACTGATGTACGATATGCTAGCATTAGATAAGGCAGGTAGTTGTCCCAATCACGTTGATGCTTCTCAACAAACATGCTTAACATACTTTCCAGCGTACGATTGAAGCGTTCAACCATTCCATCTGAGCATGGTCTTAGTGGCGTGGTTCTTGTTTTATTGATACCAAAAGCTTTGCACACTTCTTGAAACACTTTTGACTCATAATTTCTACCCTGGTCGCTATGCATGGCCATTGGACAACCCCATCGGCAAATGAATTCTTTGCTGACTACATCAGCTATGGTTTCTGTTTCTTGATTGGGAATTGCATAGGCCTCTGTCCATTTTGTAAAATAATCTGCCACTATCAAAATGTACTTGTTGCCCTTTTCTGACGTGGGTAGTGGACCAAGAATATCTGTTGCTATTCTCTCCATGGGCGCTCCAACTTGAAACAGCTTCATTTCTGCTCTCGTTTTCTTAAGATTTGGTTTTCTTGATGCACATTGATCACATCGGTTACACCAATTTCTGACATCACTGCGCAGACTATGCCAGAAAAATCTTTCTCGCACTTTTTCAACTGTCTTCATTATTCCCAAATGACCTCCTGTTGGCATGCTATGCACCTGAAATAAGACGTCTCTATGCAATTTCTTGGGAAGGACTAATTGCCAAGTGATCTTACGCCCATCATAAGATTCCCATTTTCTATACAAGACACCACCTTTCACTTCCAATCTATCCCATTGTGTCATTAGATGTTTTGTGGCTGGACTTGTTTTGGTGATTTCATTCCAGTGGGGTTTCTTCTGTTTTTCAAATGCTTTCATGACAAAACCAATGTCCTTGTCAATAAGTTGCATATTACGAAGCTCTTCTGGACTCCATCCTTCCAGTGCTGTCTTTTCTTGTGGATCTGAAGAGTATTCGTGTATGGCATTTATGCGACCATCATTCATTCCACACTGTGGACATACCATTCTTGATAATCCATCAGCATTGTTGTGTGACTTTCCCGCACGGTGTTGGATTTCCATGTCATATGAGCTCAGCATCTCTAACCATCTGGCTATTTGTCCATCAGGCTCTTTGAACTTGAACAGCCATTTAAGAGCTTTGTGATCAGTCCTTATGATGAACTTTCTGCCATACAAATACGGTCTGAATTTCTTTACAAATACAACAACTGCTAACAATTCTTTTCTTGTCACGCAATATCTGCGTTCAGATTTATTCAATGTTCGACTAGCGTATGTTACAGGTTTTTCTACCCCATCTTTTACAATTGATAGAACACCACCTATCCCAAAGTCAGATGCATCTGTATCTAATACAAATTTACTATCAGCTTCTGGATAGGCCAATATGGGAGCTGATGATATTGCTGTCTTTAGAGTCTGGAAAGCTGTTTCACATTCTTTTGTCCAAACAAATTTCTGTGTCTTCTCACATAGTTGATTCAGGGGTCTTGCAATTGTTGAATAGTTCTTAATGAACTTCCTGTAATACCCCACAAATCCATTGAATGCCCGTACTTCTTTCTGGCAACGTGGAGTTTTCCAATTCACAATTCTTTCAACCTTCACTGGGTCAGTTT